ACCAATGATATTCATATTCAATATTTGCTGTTCTGTAGATCATAAAAATATCAAAATGCAATTAATTCAATTAAAATGAACTTAAAATAAATAACCAAATAAATCATTTCTCAAAATATTAAAAACCGTACATTATTCGCATGGAAAAAAGGAAAAGAAATACAAACTTACAATTATATTACTTGTGAAATGAAATCGTTTCCATGAAAATAAAGGATAGTGAAAAAGACGTTTTTTTATTAATAGAAAAGTGGTATTTTCTACTGTATTTCTTGTGAATTACTAAATAAAGTGCGCCTAGATATATGCTGTTTTATATATTTTATCTGTACGTGCTATTTTAAAGTTATCAGGCGGTATTTGTAGGTAATATTTATCAAAATAATACAGAAACATATTTTCATTTTGATACATATTTTAAACATGATATTATTGTAGAATGTCATAATATTAATAATTATGACATTCATATATAGGAAAAATATTTTTTTTAATAAATAGCAAGTATGCAATGCATGTATCTCTTTTTTGAACGAACGCTTTTATAACACCCCATACAAATACACATATAAATTAGTGTGATCCTTTATATGGATATTTTCAATTTTTTTGCTCCCAATGGATCAAATGCTTCCAAAATGATAAAAATCTCTTAAACTTTAGCTATTAATATTAACTTTAAGATAATTCGTACTACAACCAAAGTTTCTTATGGAAATAACATAAGCAAAATTCATTTGTTTTTAGAATTTCATAATTTAGCGACAAGTCAATCAAAATTCTGAGAGTAACATTGTATTTGCTTATTTTAATCATAAATAGAAAATATATGTTGTATATTACATTATTATTATTATGCGGGCCTTTAACCACCGCTCTACCCAACCATTGAAATCACTAAAAAATTTTGCAACTTAATGCATAATTATTGAATTATGGGCTATGTAAGAACCAGTTTTTTTTTAAACATTTTTAATTACAATCTGTCACACTTCGGACATTCAGTAATTGTTTTGAATTTATTATATGGATGTTTGAATGGATGGCAACCCAGTGGTTGTCCAATCCAATTTTGACCAATTAACTATACTCGAAGTATTTGCTGACATTTTTATTATATATATGCGACTATACCTACGAGAGGCGATTTTCACTTGAGACTATATTTGAGATCAAAGTTGCCTGATGTCGGGCTTTGGCGGTAGCGGGATTCGAACCAGCGAACCCGGGACTAGTTGCTGCTAGCCCAAGGTCGAACCGATAAGAACCAGATTAAATGCGTTCGTGTAATTTTCGGAAACGCATATTCTTTATTATGAATTGACCCATTACTATTAAATATATTATGCGCTTGAGCTGTTTGCACTTGAAACCTAAAAAACAATAAAATTGCCTGTGAGATGAGAAAGCGACCGCTTCTTTTGACTCGATTGTTGTTTGAGTGGTATAAAACCACAAGCAAATTCTGTATGTTTTAATAGATTTAGTACCTGTTTTAATAGATTTAGTACCAGGGGTTGAACCATGGGCATGGGTTGATCGGCCTTCCAAAGTTACTGGGGATCGGTCATACATTTGGACATTATTGAGGCGTTCTAAATGAGCCAAAACAGGATTTTTTAAAATTTGACCCAATCGTTGGGTGAATGCACGGGACATCAGACTAATGCTGCATAGCATCAAGCCTTAAGGAAAATGGTGAAACTTCCGTACCAAAAATTAATTTTTTAAAAAAGTTTTTTTTTTTGAATTTGAAAAAACTAGATTTTTGAGAAATTTTAGATTAAAATAAAGACTTTTTTTTATTTTGAAATATTTTGGAAATTTTGAACTTTTTTTCAAAGCAATCGTACTGTTTTAGCTGCCTAGAAACGAAATATCGAAGCGCGTAAGCACCGCTTCGCCGTCTAACGAACAAACGATGTTACGGAACCCATAGAAATGTAAACAAAATTTATACGTATTATTGAAATTTCCATAAAATATCTGATAATTTAATGTGTCTATGTCTAATGATCATTTTTGACCGCCAAATGGCATTTTTTACTAGATCTCCGAAACCGCTGTACCTGCCTTCCGAAAAATTTAATCAGTTGTTCATCTTGTCAATACAAGTAATTTTTTTTTGAATTATTAAAAACTGAGTTACCGTTTTTGGCACTTTTTGCCCCGTATATTCAAAACCGCTAGACGTGCCTTTGCCGAAAACTAATCAGCGCGTCTCCTTATTGATACAAATTGAATGTTTTTTGAAATTGAAATTATTGAATATAATTTTTCAAAGGTATGCCAAAATGTTCAGAAAACCGATCGATTTCTTTGTGATTACTATAACTTACCCTACGGGAAGTTTTAAAATAACATATCAATATTTTATTTGTGAGAATTGTGTCATTGCATAGTATACTGTGCTTTCAATTCAATAACAAATTCTGAAGGTGCGTTAATGAAGTAAATCAGCAATTGTATAAGTCAATTGTAAATTTAACAAAGCGAATTATATTATCCGGTTTACAGCATTTAAAACCTGCAATTATTAAACGAGTTTGTTTCTCACTTTGCGGTCATTGATATAATTTGCCAAACAAGAATAGTGCTGACAGTTGTAAACGTGAGTAATAAATATGCATAATAAATAGATAAAGTTAAAAATATCCAATTCAAGATTTGCACGCGCTCACGCACAAAGAGATTATTCGTTGAGAAAAAAAATACTTTGGAATGCTGTAATACATTCTTACGAAAACACAAACATCTTCATTTAACAAAATCGACATTTAGTTTATTTGACGTATCAAAAAATATTTTATGAATAAATGAATATTTTATGCGCTGAATCGAATAGAAATCGAAAGTGTGAGTGCTAATTCGAGTGATTTCAAAGTTAACTTGGGACAAAGTGCCGCTGAATGGAGAACGCGATCATCGTGGACCTTTTTTTATCTGTCTTTTTTTAAATTTATAATTAGTAAACTATTTAAAATCGATATATGTTATGTCATTCGAGGATTTTAAATTGAATGTGTTACATACAATCGTAATAAATCACTTTTAAATGAAACAAATATTTTATTATCAATATTATTACTTTTTCAATTATTTGGAACACAAACGTTTATTGATTTCTAAAATTTATTATTCATACACAATTAATGAATTACCAGTTAATATAATCGATATAATATATCGATTAATATATCGAAAATAAAATGTTATCAATGCAAAATGTTAATGCATACTCAATTGATGTCATAACAATTTTTACTTATTTAACTAAATGATATATGGAATAATCAAAATTCAAAAAAATGTATGTTTCTTAATATTTGCAGTTAAGAATGTTTGAATAATTTCTATTATTAACTTCCGTAGGGTAAGTTTATAGTAATGGACCAAAAATTTAAAATGAAAATTTTTGCATATAATCACGTGTCAGAGGTTTCTGAACATTTTGGCATACCTCAGAAAAAATGGGATGTGTGTGTATGTATGTGTGGATACATTTTTTGTCGACAATTTTGGATGTACGAATTGACCGATTGGATGGTTCAAAAAACATTCGATTCCTATTGATGATGAGACGTGCTGATCAGTTTTTGA